AAGGGTGGGAGAGCCATCATTGATCCTTCTTGTTCTGTTTCTCAGAAGTGAGGGGTGCTGGGCATGGTGGCTCATTCCTGTAATCCCAGCACTTTGGGAGGCCGAGGCGGGCAGATCACCTGAGATCAGGAGTTTGAGACAAGCCTGGCCAACATGGTAAAATCCCATTTCTACTAAAAATACAAAATTAGCTGGGCGTGGTAGCACGCACCTGTAATCTCAGTTACTTGGGAGGCTGAGGCAGGAGAATCACTTGAACCTGGGAGGCAGAGGTTGCAGTGAGCCGAGATCGGGCCATTGCACTCCAGCCTGGGCAATAAGAGTGACACTCCATCTCAAAAAAAAAAAAAAAGAAAAGAAAAAAAAAGTGAGGAGAAACTCGTCAAGATGAGGGAAGGGGTTCTTCTTTAGACAGCTGGCTCGGTGGCTGGATTATGAAAGTAATGATTCCACTTTAAGGGCAGAGGGACAGTGTAATTTTATTTTTGTGGTTGATCTAACCTAGATCCTGTTGAAATCAATTTTATCCTGGTCTATACAAAGCAGACATAAAGACACTGGTGAACTTACATTAAATTTTTATAGGATGATGATATGGTTTGGCTCTGTGTCCCTACCCAAATCTGATCTGTGGAATTTTAATCCCCACGTGACAGGAGAGGGGCCTGGTGGGAGGTGACTGGACCATGGGGGCAGTTTCCCCATGCTGTTCTCGTGATAGTGAGGGAGTTCTCACAAGATCTGATGGTTTAAAAGTGTGGCATTTCCCCGGCGTCCTCTCTTTCCTGCTGCCATGCAAGACATGCCTTGCTTCCCCTTCCGCTATGACTGTAAGTTTCCTGAGGCCTCCCCAGCCATGCGGAGCTATGAGTCAATTAAATCTCTTTTCTTTATGAATTACTCAGTCTGAGGTAGTTCTTTATAGCAGAGTGAAAATGGACTAAGACAGAGGATATCAATATTCTTGTAGATCAGTGTCCTTTCTGTGTCAGAATTGGCAATGAGTTGTGCTTAGTTCCTAAATTCCATCTCTCCAGAAGGAAGACCATGAATAGTAATTGAAAAAGCCCAGCATTGAGACTCAGATAACCCTGGGTTCCAGTCTCAGTACTGTATTACCCAGTACCTTTGGACATGTTAGTTGGCCCCTTAGAGGGGACTTATCTCCCTCATACCACTTCTCGTCTGCATCTTCAGAGGCTCAGTATTCTTATCCTCAAATAAGGACAAGAATATCTTCTTGGCAGTGATGTTGTAAAGATTCAATGAGATAATGTATGAGCCTGGTACAGAGAGACTCTCAATAAATGGTACCTTCAAGACTCTTAACAACAAGGCTGGGTATCTGTAACAGGCCTAACTACTCCATGAGCCTTAACAGGACATCTCCATAAGTTGGGCCCAGGAGGCCAAAGTACAGTGCTGCAGGAGACCCAGGCCAAACCAGCAGTCTCAGGGCTACCTGGATGGAGCAAGATGGTGGCTCCTGAAGTTGGAGTGCTGTCAGGGCCAGGGAACAGATGAAGGAATGGACTGCCAGTGGTTTGCTTCATTCTCTTCCTCCAGCAGCTGTAGGCTTGGGCTGCTGGGGCTCTTGCCAGGAGTTGGGGGCTGAGGATCAGGGCAGAGAATGCAGGACGGCCTTGTCCTGCACTTTTGGAATTTGGGTGTTAGCTAATAGGGCTCTCTGGCTGTCCTATTCAGCATTTGTAGAATCTCCTCTTCCTGGTCCCAGGGCCAGACAAGGACATTCTGGGCAGAAAGAAACCATCAGTGTGCATAGGAAGAACAGCAGCTTTTTAATCAGTCCAGGGGACAGAGCCTAAGCTAGAGCGTTATTCTGCTCTCATTTAATTATCAAAATGATTCCTCTTCTTCTGTCCTCCCTGGGGCTGCATGCCCCAGATTCCCTGGGCCCAGTAATTGCCTCTCTGTTAATAGAAATCATCAGTATTTATTACACCAAGTGTGCCAGGTTTTTTCAGCTCTTCTTGTAGCAGCATTAAGGCGAACACTTGATAGCATATCACTCAAGCGACTCTACTTAATAACAAGAGTAAAGGCCCCTGAACCGTTCTCTTTGCTGGGAGAGCTGAGGAGTCATGGTCAGAGCCTAATGAGAGGAGCTGAGGGGCTTTGTGTGGGGTCTGCAACAGGGCCCTGGCATGGCCCTGGGTGAGGAACAGGCACAGGGCTCAGGAACAAGAGACCTGAGCACTCCCACCTTCCCCCAGCGGAAGTCTCCTGGGGGTTTCTGTTCTTCCGTAGGGTACATGACAATGGGTAGTGACTTGAGTTCAAATTCTTGCTCTACCGCTCAGGGCTTGTGAACTTTGGCTTCCTGGAATGCCAGTCTTCTTATCTACAAAACAAGGAGAATAACATCTACCTCCCAGAGCTGGTGTGAGGATTAAATGAGAAAATAATGTGAAAAGACTCCACTGAGGCTGCCATGGGAGGCATGCTACAAGCATCTCTTCTTCCCTCCTTCCCTCTTTCTTTCCAGGAGTTGCTGCTGTGGGATTGAGAGGGCACGACATAAGTAACTGGGCCGCAACAGTGCCTGGTACGAATGCTGGTTCCTCCCTGCAGCCTCTTCAGCCTCTCTGCATCCAATGATGGACGAACTCACCCAAGACAAGGCTGAGACAGGAGTCTCACAGTCCTGGGGTGCCTGTGTATTTGGGTTGGAAACCAGGCTGGCTGCCACTACAGCTTCCAGACTCCCATGGGCAACGGTGGAGAATCCCTTTTCCCCCTTTAGTCAGTGTAGTGCTCGGGCTCGCTGTTTGCCCATCTCTGTGTCTTTTCAACCCTGCTCAGGGACCCATCTCTGAAGAGGTGGATGCTATGTGTGGCCTCAAGGGGACTGGGCAGGTTTGGAGTCAAATGCAGAGGTAACCTGGCCCCTTCTGATGACCATATCTTCAGGCAGCTGTCTTTAAGGTCCTGGAGTGACTCAGCAGTTCAGGGAGCACAGTTATTGAACACATACTGTGTACTTTCAAGTGAGGCTCAGAGAAGCTCCCAAAGGCCCCAGTCAACATGGGATGGGAACTGGAGCCCAGGGCCAGCTTATCCAAAGCTCTCTTCACTCCTGTGTGGGTGCCCCGCGAACAGTATCGGAGCAATTTATGGAGGGGTTTAAACTGCATCTGTTACACAGAGGGCATTGTTTAGGAAGTTTTGCTAATGTGTAAATATCCAAATGTCGATTCTCTGGTATAACAGGCATGAATGTGTTTTCTGACAGTGTGGCCCCAAGAACACAGGGGTTACTTTGCAGCAGGCTGTGCTAGTGGATAGGGAACTGTGGGGTAGGGAAGATGACCAGGGTTTCTGAATGTCAGGATGTTCTCAAGGTTCATAACTCCTAGGCAAGACTAAATCACCATCTTCTCACCAAGGGACCAAAGGACACTGCTCTGTCCCTGTGTCACTGTGCCTGTTCATTCCTGTTTTGTTTTTTTTGATACAGACTCTCGCTCTGTCACCCAGGCTGGAGTGCAATGGTGCAGTCTCAGCTCACTGCAACCTCTACTTCCCGAGTTCATGCGATTCTCCTGCCTCAGCCTCCTGAGTAGCTGGGATTACAGTCATGTGCCACCATGCCCGGCTAATTTTTATATTTTTAGTAGAGACAGGGTTTCACCATGTTGTCCAGGCTGGTCTTGAACTCCTGACCTCGTGATCCACCCACCTTGGCTTCCCAAAGTGCTGGGATTATAGGCGTGAGCCACCGTGCTCGGCATTCCTGTTTGTTATGGGCTATTCACTGTGCCCTCAAAAATTCATATGTTGACATCGTAACCCCCAGTACCTCAGAATGTGACCTTCTTTGGAGACAGGATCTTTATAGAGGTAATTAAGTTAAACTGAGGTCGTCAGCGTGGGCCCTAATCCAATATGACTGGTGTCTTTGGAGAAATCTGGACAGAGACATGTACAGAGGGAAGACAGCGTGAAGACACAGGCCGATGACAGCCATCCACAGGCCAAGGAGAGGGCCCTGGAAAGGATCCTTCTCTCAAAGCCCACAGGAGGAACCCACCCTGCCGACACCTTATCTCAGACCTGCAGCCTCCAGAACTGTGAGACAAGAAACTTCTGTTCTTTAAGCCACCCAGTCTGTGATACTTGTTACAGCAGCCCTAGGAAACTAATAGACTATTCTTTTAATTTTTGCTTGAAACTTAGTATCCCCTCTCCAGTTAGGAAGAAAACGTTGATGTCTTCCTATTCCTGACTGATACTGTTTCCTTCAGATCAGCTTGACAGTTGGTTTTACTGGTGATACTGGACACCCTCCAGTAATGGAAAGAGAGGGGCAGAAATGTGGAGAAACTGAGGTAGAGACCAGCAGTGTCAAAGCAACAGGGACAGGAGGTGACATGAAGGGCCACAGCCGCAGAGAGAGACCGGAAGGGGCCATGGGTCTGCACAAGCCTTGGCAGCCACTGGCTGCCCCCGCTCATCTCCAAAATGCCAGATGTGTGTGAGTAATTACAGAGGTTTCCTCTGGGCAGCCTCCCTGGTTGGTTCCCGTCTATCCCTCACAGGCGCATAATGGAATTAAATGTGACTCCACTGCAGTTCTGTGCAGTGACTTATGCCACTGCAGTCAATAAAACCCACTCTTGGAAAGAAACTAGATTACAGGTCAGGAAAGGGTGGGCAGTCGCTGAGCCGCCTCTGATCGTTCCCTGTGGGGGGCCTTCCACATCCCTTCTCTCTTCATTTCTACCAAATTACCCACTAGCTTTGGATTTGTTATTTAGATTGACTTTGCCTCGGTTCCTCTGACATTGATGTGGCACCACAAAATTATGCAGCATGGGATCCAGAGGAGTTTTCAAAGGAGGCATTTTCTCTGACATCTCACTGAAAGTGCCAGCCATGTAAACGTTGAAGGGGGCCTCTGAGCGCAGGCATGGGGGCCCTTGCTCCTGACACCTTCTAGAGGAGGAAAGGTCACGGAGTCTTCAACCAGGGGGTCTTACCTTACATGGGTGAGGATCCACTCCATATGTTTCCAATGTCTGTGCTTTTCTTAAGAAGTTCAGCTCTGATGTTGCTGGTGTCTGACCACTGGAATAAAGAAAATGAGATGGTTTCAAGGTGTCTTGTTCCCACAGGTTCCCCTGAGGTAACTCTCTATGAAGACGTGCTCAGGGTGAGCCACACATCTCAATGTTTCTAGGGTGTGCTCCCTGCTTGGTTCTAGGACCAACTTCAGAGACTCCTGCTAGAGTCTCTGACTGTCTTCAAACATTTTCAGAGTGAGGCAGGCTACATAATGAGTTACTTGGGCTGAGTGTGAACAATGGGGAGTGGTGGGGACTGTGCCAGCAGCACCTTAGCTCTGAGATTCCCATTACTGAGAATGCAGGGCCCACTACTTGGGAGGCTGAGGTGGGAGGTGGGAGGATCGCTTGAGCCCAGGAGTGCAAGGTTGCAGTGAGCTATGGTCACAGCCCTGCACTCCACCCTGAGTGACAGAATGAGACTCTGTCTCAAAAAAAACAAAAACAAAAACAAAACAAAACAAAACAAAAAACTGATTTTTATGTGGTATTTCACAATTTAAAATACTATGGGGTAAAACAAAATACATCTGTAGGCTGGAGGCAGGTCATAGGCTTCTCATATGTGATCTGATCTAGACTGAAATATAAAGAAGGGGCTCATAAAGCTGGCTGGTGCCACCCAGCCCTCTTCCTTTGCCAAAAGGAAACACAGGAAAGTAGGGTGAGGAGAGGCAGAAGGAGACAGTACTGAGGTCCCATGCTTCACAACAGCTGTCTGTCCATAGGGTGATGACCATGAAAAGGAAAGACACTGAAAAAGGCAGAGATCAGCTCCGGCTCCAGACCATCTGAAGGGGCCTTTGGCATCACCCCTTCCCACTGCCTCTTTAGCAGGTGTGTTGATGGGCTCATTGCAGACCCAGTGGCAGAATCACCATCAGGCTCTTGCCTGGGTCCAGAGCCCTGCAAAGCAGATGTACTTCTACAGATCCAGGGTTGGCTCTGGTGAGGAGGGGCGGGCAGCTTGTGAAGTCAACACCTCTGATGGCTGGTGGGCAGGACTGCATGTTGCTCGTTTCTAAGCTTATCATTTGCCTCAGGTGATACGGCCAGGCAGGAAGATAAGCTGGCCCCAAGGAGAAGCAGGCCGGATTCCCCTAGCATCCCTCTGGAGAGGCATCAGTCAGGCAGCATCTTTATGCCCCAGTCTCGTGCTACTTGCTGGAAAATATACGAAGAAACACAGTATACAGTTTGTGCCCTCAAGAGCCCCTATCACATTGCATAAAGGAAGCATGGATGTGTTTTTACATTATGCAGACGAGGCAGGACCTGTGGAAGAAGTACCTGTGGAAGGGGGTATTACTATGACTAAAGACTTCTGCATACACTAGCGTACCTGAGGCACAGGGAAGGTAAGTTTGGAACATATTTGTGTGGCAAGCAAAGGGCTGGCTAGAGCACCGCTTCCCTTTCCAGGGAGTGTCCTTGTTTGCAGGGGAGTGGGCCCTGGGGGCTCCATTTACCCCTGCAGTTGGCCCAAACCTTCAGGGTCCTCAAAGCGGGCATCATTTCCTGGGGGATCCCCTGCTTTGAACAGCTTTCTGGAAGGCTGTCCCTACTATTCTGATGTCTCCTAAAGCCCTCCAGGCAGTTCCAGCACATCCCTGATCTCTTTGAAGGAACCTTGAGGACACGGCCCCCAACACCACAAGCCCGTGTTTATTCTGATTTTTACCACAAGGGGTCGCTATTCCCTAACAGAGTGACTGGAGGAGCCGCGGGGTCCTGCACCCGGGAAGGCACACCCAGGGAGAGGGGCGGGAAGCATGCAAGATTCCATTTGTTTGGTGTTGCCATTCCGCTGGGAGGGTCAGGAACCCCTCCTGTCACAGAGCGTGGGCAGAGGGGTCTGTTTACAAAGGCGAAGGAGGCTTTGGGTTATATTTGTTGGTAAAATCATTGAGTGAAGGGTTTCTAGGGGCCTGTGGTTAGGGAAGGAACAAGTTGAAGCTTAGTATCAGCATTAGAAATGTCCGGCTCTGCTCCCTGTTGCCAGGCATACTCTTTCCTCAGAACAGTAGATACACAAACCTTCTAAAATATTTTTTTAAAGCTGTAATGTATTATAATGACAACATAACTTTATTTTTATTTTTATTTTTTTGAGACAGGGTCTCGCTCTGTGGCCCAAGCTGGCATGCAGTGGCACGATTCCAGCTCACTGCAACCTCCGCCTCCTGGTTCAAGCGATTCTCATGCCTTAGCCTCCTGAGTAGCTGGTATTACAAGCGTGTGCCACCACATCTGGCTTTATTTATTTACTTTCATTTTTAGCAGAGACAGGGTTTCTGCCATGTTGCCCAGGCTGGTCTCTCGAACTTCTGGCCTCAGGTGATCTGCCCTCCTCCACCTCCCAAAGTGCTGGGATTACAGGTGTGAGCCACTGTGCTTGGCCAACGCTGCATTCTATATCCCTTTTTTTCCTCAGTTTGTCAGTTTGGGGAATCTGTGTTGTACACCAAGTGGAGCCCAGACACCCTATTGCTGCTTTTAAAAATCAGGCTTTGTAGAAAATCCTACTTCATGTGTGTGAAAGGCTGCATTAATGCTGTTTTATGGTATTCAGCATATTCTGGGCAAGGTGAGAGATGCTGAGAAAGATGAGGCACCACACTTGAAGCCACGTCTCCTCCACTTCCCTCTGTGCAAAGTCAGGGACTCCAGGTAGGGTATGGTGGGGGGCCTGAGTTAGGCGGGGCTGAGGACATAGTCCTGAACCAGAGTGCTCCCAAGGCACCCTCAGCATTTATGAATCAGTCCTGCGCACTCCATCCTCTGCTGAGAAGCCACCTGTCACACTGTCACAGACTGAGAGCAGAGGCCTGCCCTTTTTCACATTCTCACTCAACCTCTCCTTTTCCTTTCTTTTTTTTTTTTGAGATGGAGTCTCACTCTGTCACCCAGGCTGGAGCGCAGTGGCGCAACCTCTGCTCACTGCAACCTCTGCCTCCCGGGTTCAAGCTATTCTCCCGCCTCAGCCTCCGGAGTAGCTGGGATTACAGGCACCTGCCATCATGCCCAACTAATTTTTGTATTTTTAGTAGAGATGGGTTTTCACCATGTTGGCCAGGCTGGTCTTGAACTCCCGGCCTCAGGTTATCCACCTGCCTCAACCTCTCAAAGTGCTGGGATTACAGACATGAGGATATATGATAAAGCACCTGGCCTTTTTCTTTCATCTTTTTTCTCTTATGCAGTTTCCTTTGTGTTTATCTTTTCCTTTTCCCCAGTTCATGCTTTCCTCTGTATCTTCATTAAATATCTTAGTGAGGTAAATGCCTTTCAAAGGCCAATCCCTCTCTGTTTCCCCTATAACACAATTCTCCCTTGTCTTTAAAGCTTCAGCCTATATCGCTCTTCCTGGAGTGGGAGCCCACAGGGCTTGTGGCTGTGACTTGTGCTGTCAGTGTATCACTGACAATGGTACATCCTGGGGTCAGGAAGGCTGGGGAGCATCACTCTGTGTCAGTAAACAGTCTGCGAGAGCAGAGGACACGTCGTGGAGCCTGTGCGCTCAGGCTGTGGAGAAGCCACAGTGTTCTGGGCCTAAGTGCCACGTACCTGAGTTCTGTCTTGTGAATCTCGGCAATTTTCCTTTCCAGCTTCTCTGAATGTTTAGGGAAAAACTGGAACTTGGAGCTGTAGCCTTCAGGGTGTTTCCCTGAGTCATAATCCCCAATCTCCGCTTTCAAAAGGAAGGTGGAAGAAAACAATTACGGAGACAGGTAAATCATCATTGACAAAGCAACAAGAGATTAGCACACAGAGCAAAAGCCAAAACACACATCAGATTTACAGGAAACAGTGGATTCTGAGCATGGCTGTCAGCTGGGCAAAGGGCAGGCCCTTCAGGAGCATGTCCACCTTTGTTTTCCCAGGTGCACACATTGGGTTGGCATTCAAGTCTATGCAGAGAGACAGAGAGCTGGCCTTGTGTTCTGAGGTCACAAGTAAATTTACAATGAAAGAGCAGAGGCCTGCACTATGGTCCTCATCCATTCCGCCATGAGAAGAGGGTCTAGGAACAACGTTCTTTGTGGCAGCCCAGGAAATGGTGAGCTTGATCAGAAAGGGAGATCCTCTTGGGCCTCAGCCAGATCAGAGGTCTACATCCTAGTTTGAGGATGTTAGCAGGGACACAGTAAATTGATGAATGAGTTGCGATCCAAATTCAGAACTCAACCCTCAGTTCAAATCAAATCAAATGAATAAATTTGAATAAATATTCATTAAGGGCTGACCAGGTGCCAGGTTCCTTCGAGCGGCCTGCAGAGTGGGAAGCCTGGCTGTAACCAGAAAGTGTCGTTGAGTTCAGAAGCAGCAAGTTCTAAGGCTCATTTCTCAAGTCCCTGCCAGGTGTGAGCCTTTCTCCTCCAGCTATTCACAGAGAGAGTTTATCTAAACCTGATGAGATCTCAGAGCAGTAAACTTTAGGAGGGCAGAAGACCCACGGTACTTTCCACACCCAGGTCAGAATCCAGCTTTTTCCACGTGAAGCTCTCCACAGGGAGGATGGTGGCTATGACAAAAGAAAGAGGAGGGGCCAGCTACTCTGTGGGTGCCCTTTTTCCTTCCCAGGTGAGAGCCACAACCACTTCAGATGTGAAGTCTTGAGAGAGAAGTAAATATTAAGAGGAAAACGTACCCTCCTCCCATGGCTGAATATTATACTTGTGGCTTGTACTTTCTCACTACAAACCTACTCACTGTGTCTTCCAAATTACTTGGGAACTTCTACTGTTAGCAAGAGACCCAAATCTGAAGTCTGGGGTGACCTTGAGCCTTGGAGTCTTTTTTCTTTTGAGACAGAGTCTCATGGCACCCAGACTGGAGTGCAGTGGCATGATCATAGCTCACTGCAGCCTCAACCTCCTGGGCTCAAGTGATCCGCCCACCTCAGCCTATAGCTGAGACTACAGGTGCCCACCCCAGGCATGGCTAATTTTTTTTTTTTTGGAGACAGAGTCTCGTTCTGTCACCAGGCTGGAGTGCAGTGGCGCGATCTCAGGTTGAAGCGATTCTCCTGCCTCAGCCTCCCGAGTAGCTGGGACTACAGGTGCGCGCCACCACACCCAGCTAACTTTTGTATTTTTAGTAGAGACGGGGTTTCACCATGATGGCCAGGATGGTTTCGATCTCTTGACCTTGTGATCTGCCTGCCTCAGCCTCCCAAAGTTCTGGGGTTACAGGTGTGAGCCACTGCGCCAGGCCTAATTTTTAAATTTTTTGTAGAGATGGGGTTTCACTCTGTTGCCCAGGCTGGTCTCAAACTCCTGGGCTCAAGTGATCTTCCCACCTCAGCCTTCCAAAGTGCTGGAGTAACAGTTGTGAGGCACTGTGCCTGGCCCAGAGTCATTTATATTGATTTTATTTAGAAAGTTCCAAGTGGAAAACATCAATGTTGGACATCAAGTACTTTTTTGAAGAAAAACGAATGATTGGGTAAAACTATAGAAAAGACTAGAGTTTAAGACTCGACTTAGGTCAGGCTAGGCTTTCTCTTTAAAAACAAAAGGGGCATTCAGGAGTTTGAGATCAGCCTGGGCAATGTGGCGAAACCCTATCTCTACAAAAAAATAAAAAATTTAGTTGAGTGTGATGGTGCACACTTGTGGTTCCAGCTACTTGGGAGGTTGAGGTGGGAGGATCACTTGAGCCCAGGAGGTGGAGGTAAGCCAAGATTATGCCACTGCACTCTGGCCTAGGGGACAGAGCCAGATCCTGTCAAAAAAAAAAAAAAAAAAAAATATATATATATATATATATATGTATGTATATATATATCTCTCTCTCTCTCAAAGGGGCATCTTTGGGTATCTTAAGATTATTAAGTACCTGCTGGATTCCCCATGTAGATGATTTTAAAAACAGGAGTCTCAGAAGTCAAAGTGGCAATGGGCTAAATTTTACATTCTTTTTTTTTTTTTTTTTTTTTTTTTTGAGACAGAGTCTCGCTCTGTCACCCAGGCTGGAGTGCAGTGGCGTGACCTCAGCTCACTGCAAGCTCCGCCTCCCGGGTTCCCGCCATTCTCCTGCCTCAGCCTCCCGAGTAGCTGGGACTACAGGCGCTGCCACCACGCCCAGCTAATTTTTTGTATTTTTTAGTAGAGACGGAGTTTCACCGTGTTCGCCAGGATGGTCTCGATCTCCTGACCTCATGATCCTCCCGTCTTGGCCTCCCAAAGTGCTGGGATAAATTTTACATTCTTAACACAGGCAACCAGCCATGATATTTCTAGTGCCAGAAGGACTTTAGTTGCTTATTGGCAAGCACTTTCCAAGTTCTCTTCACAAAGTTGCTTCTGGGATTTCCAATTAAGAGTTCAGATTCTTTGGGGGAAACTTCATCATTTTAGTGCTATGGTCCAAAATGATCCAGTAGTAATGGCAGTTTCAGGCCTAGGGTCTAAGAGAAATCTAGGAAGTGGCACTTAAGTGTCTGCATCTCAGAAGGGGATGTGTGTGAAGAGTGTGTATGTCTCCTACTGTTTTGCAAAAAAAGCCAATCTGGGCATCAGCTGGGTAAGCCTCAACTCTTACTTATTAGCCTGTTAGGAAATGTGCTTGTTACTTGGAAACACTTTCAACTTTGAGCACACTGAACTAAAAGGTTTCTGAAATAGATACTAGAATTCTAAGATGCTTCTTATCTTGGAGATTTGCCTGAGAGGATGGGACAAAAAATCAAGCCTAATTACGCTCCAGAGTCTCAGGGACTTTCTCAACCAGGGGCCCAAGGCAAATCCCTAAAACAGAGTCAGAATGACTTTAAGGGACTGGTAGTAAGATCTTAGGCACACTTTAGGGTTGAGCGTTCAGTGTTTTCTGGCTCTAGGAAATCCAAGCAAAATCCTCTAACTTGACTGGGTGTGGCAGCTCACACCTGTAATACCAGCACTTCAGGAGGCTTAGGCAGCTGGATCACCTGAGGTCAGGGGTTCGAGACCAGCCTGGCCAACATGGTGCTACTCCGTTTCTACTAAAAACAAAAAAACAATTAGCCAGGCATGGTGGCATGCACCTGTAGCCCCAGCTACTCAGGAGGCTGAGACAGGAGAACAGCTTGAACCTGGGGGGTGGAGGTTGCAGTGAGCCGAGATTGCACCTCTGCACTCCAGACTAGGCGACACAGCGAGACTCTGTCTCAAAAAACAAAACAAAACAAAACAAAAAACAACAACAAAAAACCCCTCTAACTTGAACTCTGTTTCAAGTTAGATGTTTGTTTGTTTATGTATTTATTTATTTGGAGATGGAGTCTTGGTCTGTTGCGCAGGCTGGAGTGCAGTGGTGTGATCTCGGCTCACTGCAACCGCCACCTCCTGGGTTCAAGCAATTCTTGCACCTCGGCCTCCCAAGTAGCTGGGACTACAGGTGTGTGCCACCACACTGGCTAACTTTTGTATTTTTAGTAGAGACGGGGTTTCACCATGTTGGCCAGGCTGGTCTCGAACTCCTAACCTCAGGTGATCTGCCCACCTCAGCCTCCCAAAGTGCTACGATTACAAGCGTGAGCCATAGCACCTGGCCTAGATACTGTTTAGATTCAAGAAGGAGTCATCAGTGGTAACTGAAAATAATGTAATCAGTACTTGGCATGAAAAGCAAAATTATCCTGTCAAAAGTCATTACCTTGAAGGATGTAAGCTGCTAACAAGGCAGCATCTGATGTTTTACAGAGGAGACGGCCGTGGTAGAGATCCCTTTTGATCTGGAGGAAGACTAAATACCTGGAGAGAAAACAGAGAATAAACTATAAAAAGATTTCTTTGATTGCTTTAAAGATAAAAATACGTGATGTAAGCCTATCAAAATCTTTGTCAGAATACTTTTACTACATTAAAAAAAAATCTTAAAACATATTGTAGAACAAATACATTCTCCATTTCCCTGGAAACTCTTTCAAGTACTTTGCCCTAAACTGACTTGAGGTTCAGTTCAAAATATGTCAGTTTCCTCCTGTAGCTCAAAACAGAAATGGCTGTTTCCTGGTAAAACCATCACCCCCCAGTGCTGGGCTTTGGAAGGAGCCAGCCCCAGTTGGTCCGGTGCCGAAAAAGAAAACTATGCCATCAGAGACTGGCGAACTGGGCCCTTCTCTGCCTTGGATGCTGGCTGATGTTCCTTCTTAAGTAGAAAGGCTGGTGAAGGAACTAGCCCAGGAAGAGTTCAGTCCCAACTTGCCAAGAGAATCTGTCCATATGTGGAAACAGCCTGCAGTTACCAAGGTCAACCAGACCTTTGAAATGGAATAAAGTGTAAAAAGACTAAGTCGGCCAGGCGCTGTGGGTCACGCCTGTAATCCCAGCACCTTGGGAGGCCGAGGCGGGCAGATCACGAGGTCAGGAAATCAAGGCCGTCCTGGCTAACCAGTGAAACCCAGTCTCTACTAAAATATATAAAAAATTAGCCGGGCGTGGTGGCAGGTGCCTATAGTCCCAGCTACTCGGGAGGCTGAGGCAGGAGAATGGCCTGAACCCAGAAGGTGGAGCTTGCAGTGAGCCGAGATCGCACCACTGCACTCCAGCCTGGAGGACAGAGTGAGATTGTCTCAAAAAACAAAACAAAACAAAACAGTAAAAAAAAAAAAAAAAAGACTGAGCCAAGATTGTGCCACTGCACTCTAGCTTGAGCAATTGGAGAGACCCGGTCTCAAAAAAGATGCAACAAGGGGCACTGGTGAAGGAAGCATACAAATGAAGCAGAAACCTGGGACCAGCACCTCTTTAAATACAGAAAGCTGTTGCCTCAGGTGGAAGCAGGATATCAAAAACAAGAGCAAACAGTAGCTGACATGTATTGAGGGCTTACGATCTGCCAGTCTGGGTGTTACACACTTTACATGCAATATCTTATTTAATGCTCACATAACACTTTGAGATAGGTATATTATCCCCATTATTCCAGATAGAGAAGCTGAGGCTTTAGTGATTTTCTCATGGATATACAACTAAGTGGAAGAGCCAGGATTCAACTTCAGCACTGTGAGACCCCTGAACTTGGCTCTTCATCACTATGATATTCTGCCCTCCTTGTGTGTCCGGAATTGGTGGGTTCTTGGTCTCGCTGACTTCAAGAATGAAGCCGCGGACTCTCACGGTGAGCGTTACAGTTCTTAAAGATGGTCTGTCCCCAGTTTGTTCCTTCAGACCTTCAGATGTGTCTGGAGCTTCTTCCTTCTGATGGGTTGGTGGTCTCGGTGGCTTCAGGAGTGAAGCTGCAGACCTTCGTGGTGAGTGTTACAACTCATAAAGGCAGCGTGGACCCAAAGAGTGAGCAGCAGCACGATTTAGTGCAAAGAGCGAAAGAACAAAGCTTCCCCGGTGTGGAAGGGGACCGAGCCAGTTGCCACTGCGGGCTCAGGCAGCCTGCTTTTATTCCCTTATCTGACCCCACCCACATCCTGCTGATTGGTCCATTTTACAGGAGCTGATTGATCTATTTTACAGAGAGCTGATTGGTCCGTTTTGACAGTGTGCTGATTGGTGCGTTTACAATCCTTGAGCTAGACACAGAGTGCTAGAGGGAAAAGTTCTCCAAGTCCCCAATAGGTTAGCTAGACACAGAGTATTGATTGGTGTATTTACAAACCCTAAGCTAGACAGAGTGCTAATTGGTGTATTTACGATCCTCTAGCTAGACATAGAAGTTCTCCAAGTCCCCACCAGATTAGCTAGATACAGAGTGCTGATTGGTGCACATACAATCCTCTGGCTAGATATAAAAGTTCTCCAAGTCCCCATGTGCTCAGGAGCCCAGCTGGCTTCACCTAGTGGATCCTGCACCCGGGCTGCAGGTGGAGCTGCCCGCCAGTCCCAAGCTGCACTTGCACTCCTCACCTCTTGGGCTGTTGATGGGACCGGGCACCACGGAGCAGGGGGTGGTGCTTGTCGGGGAGGCTTGGTCCGCTCAGGAGCCCACCGCAGTGGGGGAGCTGGGACATGGCCGGCTGCAGGTCCCCAGCCCTGCCCCGAGGGGAGGCAGCTAAGAATTTGAGTGCAGCGCCAGTGGGCCAGCACTGCTGGGGGACCCGGCCCAACCTCCGCAGCTGCTGGCCCGGGTGCTAAGCCCCTCACTGCCCTAGGCCGGCAGTGTCGGCCGGCCACTCCTTGTGTGGGGGCCCGCTGCGCTGGAGCCCGTGCCCGCCGGAACTCGCAATGGCCCAGGAGCACCACGTGGAGCCCCGGTTCCTGCCCGCGCCTCTGCCTCCACACCTCCCCGCAAGCAGAGGGAGGCAGCTCCGGCCTCAGCCAGCCCAGAGAGGGGCTCCCACAGTGCCGTGGCAGGCTGAAGGGCTTGTCAAGTGCCGCCAGAGTGGAGGCCGAGGCCGAGGCGGCGCTGAGAGTGAGGGCTGTTAGCACATTGTCATCTCTCACTTGCACTATAAATGCTTTGCAGTTTCACTAGTTGGATGGACCCTGTCACAGTGGAATGGAATTGATGACTTTCCATTTTGAAATGTCTTCACAAGGAATGTGGTCTTCATTGCTCTTCTTAGAAGACCTGTAAGATTATTAGGAGCATCAATCCCTTGAGTGGGTCACCTACCATGGTGGTTCCTTGGCCAGGGAGCATTTCTGGTGATTTAAAAATATTTCCACAGATTCTTTGATAATCCTAATTTCATGAGGTAGAGCTTAATTCCTTCTCTTTGAGTGTGGCTTAGACTTGGTGACTCACTTCTATCAACAGAATAAAGCATGAGTGAGTGTCTGACTTCTAAGGTCATAAAGTCATTGCAGCTTCCTCCTTGTTCTCTTGCCCTTGGATCACTCGTTCTTCTTGAGGTTGCTTCAGCATTCCTATAGAAAGGTCCATGTGGTGAGGAACTGGGGCCTTTGCCAACAGCCAGCAAGGAACTGAGGCTTTCGGCCAACAGCCATTTGAGTGCCCCATCGTGGAAATGAAGTCCCCAGCTCCAGTCAAGCCTGTGGATCACTGTAGCCCCAGCCAACCTCCTGACTGCAACCTCGTGACTGACCCTGAGCCAGAACCACCCAGCTAAGCTGCTCTTGAATTCCTGACCCACAGACAATACTCTGAGACACTTAAATGCTTGCTATTTTAAGTTAACTTTTATGATGCAACATCCCTAGGGGAGTAATGAAAATGTAGTAAAATTCCTTTAAATTCTAACAGTCTGAACCAAAAAGAAATTGACCCCTCCCTGGATAATTGGAGGTTTCCATTGTTTCCGTTTTCAGGCTGAAGAATAAAATAGAGGATTCCGTGTCCACTTGACCATGTAAAAATGCTCAAGAGGAAGAGGGCTGTTGATGGTGCAACTTCCAGGAGGTGGTAGGAAGGGGTCCTAGCAGGTAACTCTGAGAGGCTCAGGCTTGGAGATTCACGCAGTTAACAGAAATGAGGGAGCAACCAAGCCTTCTTCTCTCTTCAGGGCTTACTACTCAAAGTGTAGCCCACATATCAGGGGTATCAGCATCACTTGAGAGCTTATTGGAGATGAAGAATATAGGCCCATCCTACACTTACACCTACACCTTTTAACAAGATCCCCAGGTGATTTGTGTATAGATTAAAATTTAAGAAGCTGTCCTAAGAAAATTCAAAAGCAACCTTCTAACCACAGCAGGATGGACTGCCTTCCTCAGACCAAAGGGAAGGTGAGTCTTAGTCTGGAAGTTAATAAGAACCCATCCTCTCACTCCCATCAACCCTACTCTGCCCAAATGTTTGCCAAGAAAAACTAAAGGAAAAAAGACATGTAGAGTGAATAATTAAGATGGATCTACCAAATCAAGCTCATCTTCACTCTGCTTCCCACAGTGAAATGCCACACGGTGTGTGGGAGACAGTGAGTGAGCACTTCTCTGCCTCTCACTGTTCCAACTCCCACCTTCCACAGGCTTCAGCAGGATGTGGATGCAAACCTTTTGCCCCTTACTGATCACTCCCTGGACCTGGATTCATGCATCATGTCTTCCATGTTTCTGCTTGTCTGTGTCCAAAATTCAGGGACTGTACATATTGGACTAAAGGAGATATTGCAAAGGGATAATATGGATAATATGGCTCTGGGCAGTGATTCTCAACGTGGCAGAGAGGGGAACATCTTCCAGGGGGAGCCCGTCAGAATCCATATTCTGGGGTGCTCCTGTGGTTTGAAAAGGCCCCTTTGGGCCGGGCGCGGTGGCTCACACCTGTAATCCCAGCACTTTGGGAGGTCGAGGTGGGTGGATCACCTGAGGTCAGGAATTCGAGACCACCGTGGCCAACATGGTGAAACCCTATCTCTACTTAAAAAAAAAAAAAAAAAAAAAAAATTAGCCAGGCATGGTGGTGTAGGCCTGTAATCCCAATTACTTGGGAGAGGCTGAGGCTATAGAATCACTTGAACCCGGGAGGCAGAGGTGGCAGTGAGCCAAAATCGCACCACTGCACTCCAGCCTGGGCGACAAGAGCAAAACTCCATCTCAAATAAAAAAAAAAAAGAAAGAAAAAAGAAAAGTCCTGTTTAAAGTTTCTGATTTGCTCCCCTTCTCCTCCCACCCAAAGGAACATGATCCTGCTCACAGTGAGAACCACTGTCTTTCCAAGGCATCATTATCGATGGCAGGTAATGGCCTCAGGTGAACTGGAATGGACACAAGGCTTTCCACTGCTGGGCCGGGTTCCTTTTGATTTCTGGTGATAAAAACAGCTGCAGGGAGGTTAAAGGCAAGGCCACGGGGCATTCTCAGACAATGTCATAGAACTAGATGGGAAGAGG